TGTATGGACTGAATCTTTGTGCATTGATGTTTGGAGATATGATTTGATTCACCATTGAAAACCTTCCAACTTTGTCCAAAATCCAATATTTTGTTCATGATATGGCTTGATACGGATTTGATCATGTCCATGATGACAATTAATACCTATAACAATCAAAAAGATCCTAAGTGATCAATATTTGGATTTTATTTGATTTAAATTGATTTAAAATGAATTAATTCAATAAAAAATCCAATAAAATAGAAAATTTGATAAATGGACATAAGGCTGAAGCTAGGACACGTGTGTAGTGTGACAAGATCAAATCAAGTGGAAAAGAATGGGCCCATTTGACAAAATTAGAAGTTTTGGGGATAGTTGACTTTTGGCAATTTTGCAAAAATGCCCAACTTCAACAATGCATAACTTCTTCAATTTTGAACTTTTGGAGGTGTTCTTGGACTTTTTAGAAATCCTGAGATGTCATCTAACCAACCCTTTTGGTCTCATTCAATTTTGATATTCCATCCTCAAGTTATAAGCTTTGGAAAAAAAGGTGTTTTTGTTGACTTTCAAAAATGACCTATAATGTCCAAATTTGTAACTTTTTGTGAGTGCATTTCTTAATCTTGGGGTGTGAATATGGATTGTAGGAAATTTCATCCTCTTAAAAATGAGCTTTGGATGGGTCATTTCTCATAAAGTATGAGAAAGTTATGCTTGGTCAAAATTGAGTTGACTTTTCCTACAAAACCCTAATTTAGCAACTTTTGAGTCTTGATGAATTTTGAGCAATCCTTGATGAATCATGATCAACCCATGATCAAATGATGAAATATCCTTCAAAATGATAATGTTGACAAAAAATCTTGAAGTTTGACTGTTTATAGGTCATAGTTGACTTTTGCCCTAGCACCGTCGATTTTTGGACCTCTTGAGCAATTGACTGACCAAACTTCCTCTGCAAGGCTTGAAATTTGACATGGATGAACTTGAGAACATATTAGGACATTGGGGAGCACTTGAGGTCATTTGTATGCAAGGACCTTGATGCAATACAAAACCCTAATTTGAGGTTGACTGCCTTAGAAGATAGCTTGACTGTCCAACTCTTGAGCAATCTTGAGCCACTTGGAGATTTTTCTTGCAATGTCTTGGGAAATATGAGAGGGAAAATTTTGGGGTACAACAAAGGGCCACTGCTATTCTAGATGTTTTTGAAGGGATTGATGTAACTAAACTCATCAATGAGAGCCCTTTTGTTGTTGAATTTATGAGTGGGTCCAAATAGAAAAGTTGTGAGGATGAAGAGTATGTGAGTGATGAGATGGATAGCTCTGACCCATATTTATTTGATAGTGATAAAGGGAAAGTGTCAAAGTTTTAAAAGTTTAGAAAAGAGCATTTAAATAAGGATTTTAAATTTCAGTGGAGTATGCAATTCAACTCCCTAGATGATTTTAAATATCAGGGATGGTTACAAAAGATGAATGAGCTGAAGCTGGAAGATCACAATGCTTGGACTTGGTTGATGGGTGTTCCTCCAAAGTTTTGGTGTAAGCATGCTTTCAGTTTCTACTCTAAGTGTGATGTTCTTATGAATAATATTTCTGAGTCCTTCAATGCCACCATATTAAGTGTTAGGGATAAACCAATTTTAACAATGTGTGAGTGGATTAGGAAGCATTTAATGAACAAATGTTCTACTTCTGCCATGAAGCTTAAAAAATGGCCTCATAAGGTTATGCCAATTCCTAGAAAAAATACTTGATAATGAGGTTATGTTTAGTGGTCAATGGCTGCCTACTTGGGCAATGGATGAAAAATTTCAAGTCACTCATTCCTATAACAGCCAGGAATTTAAAGTTGACATATCTAAGAGATCATGTACTTGTAATTTTTGGGATTTAGTTGGTATTCCTTGTAGGCATGATATTGTTGTTATTATAGAGACAAGTATGCAATATGTTATAGTTTTTCTGTGAGTCCAATTAATGGTGAGGAAATGTGGCCAGAAGTTCAGTCAGATGAGATTTTACCCCCTATGTATAAGAAAGGTCCAGGAAGACCAAGAAAGTTAAGGATAAGGGAGTATGGTGAAGAGGGTGCTAGAAGGAGAAGATTGCCAGGTGTATCTTACAGATGCACTAAGTGTGACAAATTTGGTCACAATGCTCAAACATGTAAAAGCACAACACAAGATGCTAATGGACTAAAGAGAAAGGTATTATTTGTGTGTATTTTGAACTGACATATCATGTATTTTGAACTAACATATCATGTATTTTGAACTAACAAGTAATGTGTTTAATTTTTGTAGAGGAAGGTCAAGGTATGTACAACTGAAACTGAAATTGCAGCAAATGAAAATGAAACTGCAGTAACCACTGGTGGAACTCAGACTACAACACCCCATGCTACAACTGAAACTGCAACACAAGCTGGTGGAAATCAAATTGCAGTACCCCATGCTGTAACTCAGACTGTAGTACCCCACATTGCAACTCAAACTGCAACCAATGAACCAGTTGACTATTTTGGCGACATAACTGATGATTTCATTTCAAGCATTCTTGAAATAAACACGACACAATGTCCTGTTGTGGTTGGTAAACCAGACAACAGAGGCAAGAAAAAATTGAAAGTGAAAGATGTCAGGCCAGTGAGAAAGAGGTCCAGTGAAAGAACAAAACTCCAGTGGTTTCAAAAACCAATCAAAGGGCCAAGTTCAAATCCCGAGCAGCCTATGTATTTGACAGAAGAAGAAGGAAGTGGTTCTAAACGTGCAATGAAGAAATCTAAGAAGAAGTAGTCTTATGTTTGTATTGTCTATTATGCCCTTTTGATACTTTGGCATTAAGTTATGGTTTGTGTCCTTGTGGTTTGTTAGGCTGTTATGCCCTTTTGTAATGACATTGACATTTTGTGTCCTTGTGGTTTATTAGGCTGTTGTGCCCTTTTGTAATGACATTGGCATTTTGTTCTACTTATGCCTTCATGTAATGAATTCTTTATGAGCAACCCCCTCACATAATTAGTTTTGAATGATAGCAAATATGTGTGAAATAATCAATGAATGTTAAAAATAATTTTATCTATATGTGTGCATTGTAAAAATATAGTATAACATGTTTAAAAAAGTTAAGAATGTGTTTTACACATAAAACACTTTTATGAGTCGACACAAAGAGCTTTGCATCGACACATACTTAAGCAAAGAATCATAAAAACGATTTTGCTTCAGTATGAGTCGACACATCCATGTTATGCATCGACTCATAACATGTTGATGCTCCTGGAATACAATTTTCAACATTTATGCATCGATACATAACTTCATGCATCGACACATGATATGTTGATGTCCCTGGAAAATATTTTTCAACTTGTATGCATCGATATATAACTCCATGCATCGACACATAACACGTTTTATGTTCAAAAATAAAAAATTCAATTCAGTATGTGTCGACACATACGTGTTATGTATCGACTCATGTAAAATAGTTGACTCTATAATATGTTGTAGTATCAGCTTGCATCGACTCATAACAACTTGCATCGACTCATTTTATGTTGTATAACTAACATGAGTCGACTCATGCTAACATGTATCGACTCATAATACGTATTTTTGTCTCGTACGAATTGCAACTTCCAACACTTTTGCTAGCATCCTCCATTTGAACGTAGGGACGATTTGCAGTAGAAATGGTTCAACACGGTATTGAGGGAAGAAATTAACAAGATAGTATAGACAGACGGTAGAGACGAACACAATATTGAGGGAAGAAATTAGCAAGACGGTATGGACAGACGGTAGCTGCTGAACGTGTCTGTTGGAACATGAAGAAGACGAAGACAGAAAGATTGAGAAATAAATTGAATATAACCCTAGATTTTACAGAGGGTGAATCACAACGTTGGGAACTATGTTTAATATGCACAAACGTTCCAGCATGGCTTTTAATAACACATTCAACAAAGAATCTAATGCCACATATGAAATTCATAGGGAATCTTGAGATACAGAGTTTTCTGTTTGAGAATCTATATTTATTAAGGGGCAGAAATAATTTTTTTTAATAAGGAGATAAATCAAAAATCGCAGTATATTTAACCTATTATTCTATTATGTTGTAAATTTTCTTCCAACAGTAATCACCCTAAACTTTTTAGTTGGCCTACCACCTAGAGAATTTAAACCTAAAATCTACGAATAAGCTAGAAGTGATCACTGTTATCTTGTTCTCTTTTCTTAAATATTTTATTTGAATATTTTATTTGTGATTTGTATTCTAAGTGTTTGGTGCTAATTCAAATAAACCATTTTTACCCTGATTTTTTCTTTAAAGCTAAAATCAGTTATTTTTGTTTTAAAGATTTTAGATTTGTACTTCTCAAATAAAATTTTAAATTTGCACTTCTCAAATCTCGTGCTTTGGATATTTGTTGTAACACTTAACACCAATAATAAGGATAATAAAAAGGACACTTAACATCTCATCACCAATAATAAATTTGATAGAAAGAATCAATTGAATCGCAACTCCATACACCAATGACAATGTCATACACTAATATTGTCGGATAACCGCAAACTCTAGCACAAACATTTCAGATTAAAAACATGTCTATATCCAAAATTAACTCATGTGATTACATTTAATCACTTTGTTTATTTCAAATTATTACCTAAATATAAGTGTACTGTTAGGTCTAATGTCCTAATTTGTATAAGTGCTTCGTATTTATGGAATCGTCTGTTATAAACACAAAGACTTACCAAGAACTTAGAAACATCATTTTTTTGTTCGAACAAATAATAAACTTTAAATTTAAAAAAAAATGAATCCTTCAAACATGTCTAAATAAAATAAATAGCATTATGTCTAACTCTACAGAAATGTCAAACAAGTTTTCATATTGCTATTGATTATAGCTTTCATTGTGATGGTTCAAAGAGTTCAAGATACAGGAAGCAGAATAGATTTAAACTGTGACAGTGAAGATTCTAGTCATTCTTTCCAGCTATAAGAAGCTCGGTCGACAACTAAATAGTCTCCCCTGATATCCTTTACAACTCGAAGGTCATCGTCCAGGTATACAGTATCAAACCTACAAAAACAGGAAAGTTAGACATTTGGTTATGGTTCAATTATTTTGTAAGCTGCAATACTCCCTCCCTCTAAGAGAGGTGTATCTAACGTGGTCTATAAATACAAATGGAATAAAGTACTTACCAACCCTGTCCAAATGGTGGCAATGGTATTTCCCAATTCTTCCCACGCAACACTGCGCTAGTAAATCTGAAACAACCAAATATTTATAGAACTCAGAGAATCATAACCTAGTTGAACAAAAACCAAAACTAATTAATCAATAATTAGATGAATTAAACAAAAGGAACATTGTTTAGTTTCAATTATTGATTCACCTGAAGTTCACTCTCTGCGACGAAGCGACTTGGATATTGGATCTTACAAAGAAAACTCCATCGGGAGGAAACGTGATTACATTGTTCAGAGTCAGTTTGTCAACATCTATGACTTGCAATACATCACCAGCTTTGGTTCCGAACAAGAAAGCCTTCTCGATGATGAAGAGCTGCTCTTTCTCCGTTGTCCAGAGTAACCGCCACGTGCTAGTGAGGGAGTCGCCGGTGGTTACGGAGCCGGCGCCGAGGGCGGCCAATTCGTCGATAGCGGTGATTATGGAGGCTAGTTTGGTGGGGTTGTTTTGGGTTTTGAGGCCGCGGTCCTGGTTGGAGATGAGGGAGAGGAGGTGTTGTTTAGCGGGTTTTGATTGGGCGGTTACGGAGGAGGAGGTGGAGTTTGGGTGAGAGTAGCGGTGTTTGGGGAATGTTTTGTTGGAGCTTGGGGTGTGAAGGAAAAGGGAGGTGGTGGCCATGGGAATGTGTGGTGGTGGTGATTGAGATGCATGCTATTAAAAGTTTGTGTGAGTGAGTTTCAACTTTTGAGTGTGTGGAGTAAGTGAGCTTAGAGAGAATTCACGGTTAGGAACTTCGAAAAATACATTGTCGTGGGAACCACTTAATTATCTTGGGTTTCTATTGAGGCCAATTTGAACCGGAAAGATACTTGGAACAAAGTGATTAAGAAATTGAAATCAAGGTTAAATATGTGGAAGAAGAAAATTTTGTCTATTGGTCATTGTATTATAATTTTAAAATTTGTTCTATATGCGATTTTGAATAGATATTTATTTTTAAATTAGAATTTATTTTTAAACATTGTTATGGGGAGTGTGTGAGCAAGAGAGAATAATTAATTGGTTAGACGGGAGAAGGTGTGTGATTGATAGAAGAAGGGGACTTGGAGATTAAAAACCTAAGATTGTTTAATATCAAATTATTAAGAAAATGGGAGTAGAAAGTAAATAAAGCGAGAAAGGGTATTCAATATGACATTTTGGTTAATAGATATGTGTTGAATAGTGAGATTTAGAATTTGGAGTTGTCGAGTGGTTCGAACTGGTGGAAGAATATTTATAATTTAGAGGTTGAGGAGTTTGCCACAACAACAATTATTTAGTGAAAGAGATGTATAAAAGTCTGATGTCGTATGGTCAACCATCTCATATGCATTCTTTGTCTAAGATTTGGAACAAGGTGATCCTTTCAAAAGTTTTTTGCTTGGTTTAGAGAGTGCTTAGTAATATAATTCTCACAAAAGACAACTTAGCTAGAAGGTGAGTGTTAGTAGAGGGGCACGTGGGGTGCGTTGAAGAGTGTGGGAGTGAGGAGTTATTTTCTCACCTTTTTTTTTAGTGTCCGGTTTTTGTTCCTTGTGCAATTGGATTTGAGTATCTTCAACTCTTCATAATATCGGGTGGTAACATTTTGAACCATTTGAAAACTTGATAGGAAGAGATAGAAAGGCAATTTTGAAACTCTCAAATATTTGGGCCTCTTGCGTGTGGAGCAGAAGGAAACATAGAAACATTAGAGTTTTCTGAAATGAGAAGATTCAAAGCGGAAAAAAGAATAGTAAATGAGGCAAAATTAGCGGCTTGGAAATGGCTTAGAATAAAGGCAAATCTAATATCGGATGAAATATCTGTGTGGTTTATGAATCCTAAGTTGTGCCTTGGTATCTCAGTTGGTTAATCAAAAGGAGTAGTTTTAAGCTCAATATCTTTTTTTTAGATTTTTTCTTTTCTCTTATCAGGTAGTTTGGCATTGGAGTTTGAGATGCTTCTGGTTTGCATCTATGTTAAGTCTTGTGTGTTTTGTTGCGTGGGGGTTGTTGTATCGTGAGCTTTTTCTCACTTAGGTTTCTGTTGTAAGTACAAAGTGTTGGAAATAATTTATATTTTAGGAATATCTTGTTGACTAAGTTTGTTAGAGGGTATTTTAGTATTTTTATTATATCCTAATATTGTGTATAAATAGCCTAGTAGTAGGTAAGTCAATGTATTCATTACTCCTTATTTTGTAGTCGTCGTTTAATATTATTCCTTTTGTCTTTCATCTCTCCTTGTGCACCAACAATTGGTATCAGAGTTCTCGTTCGAAATCTACAGGGAAAACGAGTGAACGGTGAGGTGTTGTGTGATTGAGAATCACATTTTTTCTGATTTTGTAGGATTTGGGAAACACTGCGTGATGGTGAGTTTTGAGTGAATTGCACAAGGTTGAAGATGAACGAAAACAGTGATATAAGTTCCAAGCTTCCAATGTTTGATGGCAAAAACTGGAATCGTTGGAAGATCCAGATGCGTGTGTTGTTTGTAACGCCCCGTTTTATTTAATGTTATATTATATTAATATTTTCGAATTACCGTTTGACGTTTATTTTTGCGACGAGAATATTTATATTAACCGGTATATCTGTTAATATATTCAGCGACGTTTTATTCGGACCGGTAATTATTTTATTCGGTCCGGTATTTATTTTGAGGGACCGGTAATTATTTTGTTCGGTCCGCTTTTTATTCCGTTCGGTTCGATAAAATATTATTCGGACCGATATTTAATTATTCGGAGTTATTTTAATTATTTGGAGTTATTTTAATTATTTGGGTTAATAATATTATTTAGTATTATTAGTGTTATAACTAGTAGTAAGACCAAGGGCTTTTTGGGTATTTTGCTAACTTATGTCTTGTTCTAAGCAAACCAAACACTTGTTTTATGTCATAAAACAAAAACACACATAGAGACTTTGAGAGCTAGAGAAAGTCTTGGAGAAGAGAAGAACAAGAAGAACACAAAGCTTGGGTTTTGGGTTGGTTGGAAGAACAAGAATCATTTCAAGCATTTAAGGTAAGGGGTTTGATTTTTCAATGCTTATAGTTAGGGTTTGATTTGATATATTTTGGATTTGGGAAAAAAAAATTGATGTTAGGTTTTTTTTTAGTTTTGTTGAAGATTTGTGATAGAAATTAGAAGAGTTAATTAGGTGTTGTTGTTGTTGAATTAGTATTAGGTTAGTTAAATTGGAATTAAAAATAAAATAGAGATTATATTAATTAAGTTTAGTTTATAAAAAAAGAAATAGCAGGATATTTACATTTACCATTTACTAAATATGCAGTATATTTACTAAATGGAGATTAGAACATAAGCATGTGTAATTGAATTGAATCTTTGAAACAAAAATGAACTAGCAGTATGTGATAGCACTATAGAAATTGATTTCTAAGCTTATAAACTAAAACATGTGTAATTAAGATGAAGTTTTGAAGAAAAAAAAGAAAAATTATGCAGTATAGTTTTGAAACAAAAAGAAAATTATGCAGTATAGTTTTGAAACAAAAAGAAAATTATGCAGTATAGTTTTAAAACTAAAATGAAAAGGAATAGCAGTAACGTTAACTGGCAGTAGGCATAATGGAAAAGTAAGTTTAGAAAAATTAATTAATTAATTTATGTTTTGTTTTTATTTTCTTAATTTAATATATTAAACATTTATATTAATTAAATACAAATATGACATAAGTTAGCCGATTTAATTTGGAACCCGATTATATTTCGATTTCTCGATTTCGGCAATTTCGGCGACGGAGCAAGTTGCTCTGAATTTAACGAAAATTGACGTGCTAGATAATTTTGATGTGTAGAACGTCGTGGTGAGGTTAGTTTTTCGAGATTATGGGTTTTTAACAGAGCGACCCAAAATAAGTCAATTTACGGTTAAGTTGAATCGGGTTGCGTTTTAGTCGATTTAAGTCGCGTATGGACAATCCGATTGCGACGTTAATGATTATGATTGATGCCGGTTATTATGAATGACTTTCGCGATGATTATTGATGTTTGACTATTTTTTCCGTGTTTGAAGTTTAGTGAATTATTTGATAATGATGTGAGGTGATTAAACATGATGTTTGCGACGGTTTATTTATAATGAATACTTGATGATATGTGATGCGATGATATGTTTATCTTGATGTGGATGAATATGGCGACGTGGGTTTTATACCAATTTTGATGTGCGATGATGATGTTTTATTGTGTCGTGTTTGTGATGTCGTGTTGTCAAGTCACATACATTGCATTAGCGACTAGGGCTTTTATGCCAAGCGACGATGGCTTTTATGCCAAAGCGACGATGGGCTTTTATGCCGAATTTTCCTAATTATGGACAAAGCGACGGGTACCACATGTATAACATAGTCGTGTCTCATGGAGTCGGTTATGTTTATTTTTGAGTCTTTTGGCATTGAGCTTTATTTGATGGCTTATAATGAATTGCGATGTTATATGATACCTTGTTTTGTGATGATTTTTGTGTTGAACATAAAGTGATTATGATGTGATAATTTCATGAAAATCATGCGATGGATATAACATAACGGTAAAGCGACGATATGAGTTTATGGCGATGGAGTTTATGTCGTGTTTTGACATGATTATGGTGATTATGTGATGAAATTAAAGTGTTGATTTTATACACTAAATGATGATTTTAAAGTATGTGAGATTTTGATATTTATTGACATATTCTTATTAATCATATATCATTTATGATTCCAAAACTATTTATATATTTTATCATGCCTTTAATTATATGTTTTGGAGTATCTCACCCTTTACTTGTTTCGCCGTTGCTTTTATATTGGTAACGTGCAGGTGATCCGCGAGGATGATGAGGATTAGCTCGAGTCTCTTTATTTTGAGTCGCTCTGCTCTGATAGTAGTAACACTCGGGATTTGGGCGACGTTATTATTTTGATAGGATAGTTTATGTATACTATCCTATGACTTTATGTATTAATGATAACATGATGATACGTACATTTTGTGAATACATCCGCTGTGCTGTGATTAGTCATATGTTTATATGATGATTTATGTTATGAATCAGTATATCCGACTTTTGATTTTGTGATGTGCATTATAATGCAAAGTGATGAAAAACACGAATATGTGATACCTCAATTTATGTTTGGATGAAATTTTGAAACTCAGATTTTATTATTAATTACGAGGGGTAGAATTGGGGTGTTACATTAGTGGTATCAGAGCAGGTCGGTCTGTCCGACCAAGTTGTTGAGTTTTTTTGTTGTCTAACAATCAAGTATTGTTATTTGTTGATTCTAATCCTTGTTTTGTTTTGAGCAGAAGTTGTTATGGCTGGAAGGAACACTGGTAGGAATGATGAGGCTCTTGTTGCTGCTATGCAGGCAATGGCTCAAGCTTTCCAAAACCTGCTGAATGCTGACGAGAACGCTGTGTCTCGTAGTTTGGCAACCTTCCAAAGAGATAATCCTCCTACTTTCCAAGGAAAGTATGATCCCGAATGTGCTTTAGCGTGGCTGAAGGAGATTGAAAGAATCTTCCATGTGATGGATTGCACTCCTGTGCAAAGGATCCGTTATGGTACTCATAAACTAAGTGCTGAAGCGGATGACTGGTGGGTTGAAACCCGTCAGAGGCTTGAGATTG